TTGTATCAATGTATTTTCCAAGTTGTAATTGATTTTGAAATCATGAATTTAATTTTTTTTTTTTGTAACAAATCTAGCAAAAGGAGATGCATGTATATTACCAATAATTGCTCATTAAATGATTTTATATAGTGGAATACAGTCAACTCGATTGGTATAAGTAGGCCTGTCAATGGACTGAATTTTAGTCCGAATCCGATTTGAATCCAAATTTATCTTACTGGATCGAATTTATATATTCATATTCATATCCCATTTAAGATATTTAAACAAATTCATATTTAACGGTGGCTTACCCACTGCCTGAAGTTGATGCACTTACACAAATGTACTTACTGAATTAATTGCCACAATCTCATGTCAATAAGAAAATAATTTGTTAATACAAGTCAAAGAAAATTTGGCACAAATGTCCTTACTGAATTGATTGCCACAATCTCATATCGTAAATAAGAAAACAATCTGCTATGACAAGTCGAAGAAAATATGACACAAATGTACTTACTGAATGGATTGGCACAATCTCATGTCAATAAAAAAACAATCCCCTAAGACAAGTAGAAAAAAATGTGATACAAATGTACTTACTGAATTGATTGCCACAATCTCATGTTGTCAATAAGAAAACAATGTACTAAGATTATCCAATGTATATGCATTACTATTGTAAGTCATTATGAATCAACAGTATAAAAATCAAATGCATAGATGTTAATTACCAACTTTAATTAATTCTTTTGACTGAAAAAAAATAAGATGATATATTTATATTTATTTACATTGAGGCTAATTGTAAAAAAATAGAGATAACTGTGTATCAATTGCAAACAATTTTACATTCAAGTTATGATTACAAACCCCAAAAAGTGTAAATAGACAAATTTATTATCTTTAGTTCATTTCTAACTCATACCAAAGGACACACATCTACTAATTGTCTCCTACTTAGAGTCTCAGACTACTAAATCATTTCATCAATCTATGTTCAAGCCTGCAGATTCATGTGCTTAGCTTTGTACTCGCTCCATAGTTGATCAACTGGCTTATTCAATAGCTCAATAAAGTATTGATCACTGTAAGCAGTTCTCATCTTTTTGTTCAATGCGGCCACAAACCCTGGTCTAAGACCATCACAATATTCCAAAAACCGTGCCGTAAAATCATACCCTTGATCCCATCTGTCACCCTGCCCCGGTTTTGCGAAGGCCGGGGGATAATCGTTGGACTTCAAGATCATATAATCAGCAATCCCTTCGACCAGCCCGACTGGAGCGTGGCCCTCTCCATTCCACTGAAACACATGGGTCATTTCATGATGAAGCAAAGAAGTGAATTCCCATTTCACATTACCTTGGTAGCCTTGCAAGTACACAGAACTGACATTAATGTTTTCGCCGTAAGTGATTGCTTCGGCTCCCTTGTACTCTTCAATGAACACTTTGACAACTTCCACGTTCTTTCTATCTTCCAAAGTGTTTTCTTGCAAGATGTTCCATATGAAATTGTTGATGGTTCTCATTATGTTCTTAGTGTAGTCAATCCCAATCTCCCTCGAGAAGCGAACACCGCCTGGGGTTGATGGTGCATTATTGATGACCTCATATTGGACACCATTGATGCCCTGAAGAGCTACTAGGGCTAGGAGGCAAGACAAGAAGAGATATAGGTGTGCCATGACTCTGTTCATACGCACTTTGCTCAAAAGATGGCTTATAGGACCATCAACAATTTCATAGATGGTTTAGAGTATTTATCTCCGTTTTTTCCGTGTTTTACATGAGCTGCGATTACAAGCCTCTAAATCAGTTGGTGATTTTCAGGAGAGGGAGCTCAATCGGAAATTTAATTTATGGCCTAAGGTTTTGGAGGAGAAATCGGATATACAGATGGGAACTACCATCTAATGACTGGATTAAACTTAACGTTGATGGAGCGAGTAAGGGGAATCCAGGTTTTTCTAGAGGAGGATCGGTGCTCAGCAATTCGAATGGTCAAATTATATTGGCCATTCAAACAAATGAGGGAGAAATTTTCTACTACCTATATTCGGCTATGGCACCTTTTAGGAGGCGTGTGGATTTCACCTATATCCGGTTTCTTTGGAGGGAACAAAAATCCTTATTCAGTGCACTTTTTAAGGAAAATATTGTATTCACGGTCACATGTTAAAACTTAATCATAATCAGTCAATTCGATTGGTGCAAATAGGCTTGTCAATGGACTGGATTTCAGTCCGAATCCAATTTGAATCTAAATCTAATCAGATATGAATATGGATATATATAAATCTGATCCAATGAATGAGAGAGGAAGAGAAGGGGGAGGGGGGCAACAGCCTACCCACTACCTGAAGTTGATGCACTTACACAAATGTACTTACTGAATTGATTGCTACATTCTCATGTCTATAAGAAAAAAATCTACCAAGACAAGCAGAAGAAAATGTGACACAAGTACTTACCGAATTGATTACTGCAATCTCATGCAAATAAAAAAAAAAAAAATCTGCTAAGACAAGCCTAAGAAAATGTGACACAAATATACTTAATGAATTGATTACGACATAATCTCATGACACAAATGTACTTACTAAATTGATTGCCACAATCTCATGTTAATAAGAAAACAATCTGCTAAGCCAAGCAGAAAAAAATGTGACAAAAATGTATTTACTGAATTGATTGTTATAATCTCATTTCGTCAATAAGAAAACAATTTGCTAAGATTATCCAATGTATATGCATTACTATTGTAAGTCATTATGAATCAACAGTATAAAAATCAAATGCATAGAATGGCCTGGTATGTTGCTTAATGGATGCTTTTAGAATAGGAATTCTTGCAAACAAGGACCATGTGGGCAAGGTTTAGTAACTCCAATTAATTATGCAATCAAAGTTTCCTTGACATATTTGGTAATTGAATTGAGAGGCAGGAATTAAAGAAAAGTGACATAATGGCCACATTAAACTATGTTTGAGAAATATATGTGCATATTTAAATCTATATTTTCTACATACTATACTCCTCCCTTTCCCCCATCAAGTGATAATTTTTTTTAATTTTAAATAATAATGTATTGATCTTGTCAAATTAAATTATTTCATGTGACTTATGTAGCTACTCTCATAAAATTACTTTAAACGAATTTTTTATCCTCCTTAATTTAACACAATAATCAATAATTTTTTTAAAAATATAAGAACAACTTCAAAGGAAGTTGTCATTTTGGGATATCAAATCACTCATTTGCAACCTTAAATAGTGTTTTGACATTTTTGAATTATAAATTTGTTCCAATAACAGGTGCCAAAATGGGATGTCATTTTAATTTATATAATAAAGTAGAACGAAGTTTAAATCTCAAAAACAAAGAGATGTTCAGATCGTTTTGAAACAAAACATAAACACTTCCAACGGATAATGTAATCTCAACATAAAAGATGGTTCAAATCATCTCAAAAATTAGCATAAGAAAACAATATGCTAAGATTATCCAATGTATGTGCATTACTATTGTAAGCCATTATGAATCAACAGTATAAAAATCAAATGCATAGAACGGCCTTGTATGTTGCTTAATGGATGCTTTTAGAATAGGAATTCTTGTAAACAAGGACCATGTGGGCAACGTGTAGTAACTAGGGGTGTCAAATATGTCGGGTTAAATGGTTACGTGTCGGGTTAAACGGATGACGGGTGAAAAATATATAAACCCGTACACGACACGTTTAATAAACAGATAAAAAATTTCCACACGAACACGACTCATTTAATAAACGGGTAACACGAAACGACTCGTTTAACCCATTTAATTTAAAAAAAATTATATTAACAAATTTTAATACTCCATTTTTTTTTATTGTCAATTGCACTTACTTCAAAAAAAAAGATTTTTTAGTCAAATTTCATAAAAATAAGACTTGAAGGCTTAAAAAAAAAAGTAAGAGGTCATTACTTTTTATAACTAACTCAACCCTCCCTATCTCCCCTCATTTTTCAATATGTGACAAATAAAACTTAAAGACTTAAAAAAAAGTAAGAGACTATTGTTTTTTATAGGCAACTCAACCCTCCTCATCTCCTCTCAATTTCCAATGTGGGACAAATAAGAATTAAAGACTTAAAAAAAAAAAAAGTAAGAGGTCATTACTTTTTAGGCAACTCAACCCTCCCCATCTCCTCTCAATTTTTAATGTGGGACAAATAGGACTTGAAAACTTAAAAAATAAAATAAAATTAAAAGGTCATTGTTTTTTATAAACAACTCAACCCTACCCATCTTCCCTCATTTTTCAATGTGAGACAAATAAAATTCGCCTTTGTCTTTGAAGTGTTCATCTTTTTTTCTTTTTTGTCTTTGAACTACTACTTTACTTCTTTTTTCTTATTGATTTCTTTACTTCTTTTTTCTTACTAATTTTTTAAATAATTATTAATTTATTATTATATTAATTTTATTTAAACGGATAAACTTATGATAAACGATTTGACAGGTCTCACCCAAACACGACCCGTTTATTAAATATGTTTGGCGTGTCAACCCGTTTATCACCCAAACCCGTTAAGATCTCACTCAAACTCGTTTAATTCGTGTCGATTTGTGTTGGTTAATCGTGTCGTGTCAAATTTTGACAGCCCTAATAATAACTCCAATTAATTATGCAATCAAAGTTTCCTTGACATATTTGGTAATTGAATTGAGAGGCAGGAATTAAAAAAAAGTGACATAATGGCCACATTAAACTATGTTTGAGAATATCTTTATGTTTAACCAACTTTCACACTGTGTATCAAGCGATTTCTGAGCGAAGACTACTACAATAACAAAACCAGCGGACCACCACCAGCCACCCTTCCACCACCAGATCCCACCACCACTCAGCCATCCATCCACCACCAGATCCCGCCATCACCCAGCCACCACCAAATCAAGCAAATCCAACCACCCAACCACCCTACACCAATCCAAGCAAATCCCACCTCCACCCAACCACCCATCACCAGTCCAAGCCAAACCCACCACCACCAGCCTCCCATCTTCCACTACTAGCAGACATGGCCATCCCCTGCTCCTCTTCTTCCCCTTCGATCCCCTCTTTCCACCTTCCTTCTTTCTCTTCTCGTTGATCTCCAGCCTTATCTCCTATCATGGGTCCTTGCCCCATCATTAATGTTCCAGACATTAATGGAGGCGAGAAAAATTCCTTACCTCCTGCTCTCACTGATACTTCAAAATCTACCCCCATTAACCCCTCCCCTGCCATTAATAGCATTGAATCAAGCATTCACTGTCCAGGATCAGACTGCACTTTGCTGATTGGCCCTATTTTTGGCCCCAAACTGACCTCCTCTAATTCAGCCCCCTTTAGTTCTGGTGCCAAATTTATGGCTTCTGACCGTGTGGTGGTGAATGTCCCCACCCCTTCTTTGTGTAATATGCTAGGTACTAACCAGCAAGTGAAAGGAGTTCCCAAAACTCCATGGAACCAAGTTTTGAAATTTAGAAGAGCGGCAAACACCCAAAATCCCAACTCATACTCCATCCCTCCTCAGGAGCAGATGAAACTGAAATTCTACCAATCGAATAGACTCAACAATAAAGTTAGTGTTCTTCCTCCTCCTGAATGGCGAACAAAGGATGTGCTAAATGTAGTAATTGCCTGGTAGGATATTTCATTGAAAAGACACTGTCCTTTTCTTCTATGAAATTCATTGCCCATAAAGTGTGGAATTGCATGGGTTTGTTGGAGGTTCTTGCTAATGACCATGGCTTCTTCTTCTTTAAGTTTGAAAGTGAAGTTGCAAGATCTAAGGTTTTTGAATCAGGCCCCTGGTTATTTCAGGGGAGGCCTTTGATTCTAAAAAAGTGGCAGGCTGATGTTCTTATTTCAAAAGAAGACCACTCCTCCATCCCACTTTAGATTAAGCTCTATAACATTCCTCCCCAATTTTGGACGGAAGAGGGTTTGAGCTACATGGCTAGTGCAGTTGGTAGACCCCTCTATGCTGATTCGCTAACCTCTAGTAAGAAAATAATCAATTTTGCACGCATTTGTATTGAAGTTAGTGCAAAGGATGAGCTGATTGATTCTTTCGACCTTCAGCTAGGGGTTGAAGATGTTCAACACACAATGAGTATTGGAGTAGAATATCAATGGAAGCCAAGGGCTTGCCATCACTGCCAAATATTTGGTCACTCTGCCTCCCAAATGTCCTTCTTCTGCAACTCAGGACATTCTTCCTTCTGCTGCTAATCTAGCTGAATCATTTTCTGAGAACCCTCTGGAACCTATTCCAACAATGGTTGATAAAGGAAAAGCTATTATGTTTAATCCTCACTCTCAAACCCATATGGGAAGTGATGTCAATGGCACCCGTGGTCTTCATCATGCAGATCTACAGAATGATTCTCAGGTAAATGTTGTCTCCCCTCTTTTTCAATCCCTCCATTCTGAATTACTCGCTGGTCCTACTAGCAATAATAGATTCAACTATCTTATTGAGGAGGGTGACAATCTGATTGTGGATATTAGCCCAAAGCCTTCCTTGCTCCCTCAACCTAATGCTCCTAAAGTTGCCCCGCGTCTTGAGATCCCTGTGAGTTCTCCGCCTGTTTTGTCTAATAGCAATGCATCTCAAAAAAAGAAGAGAAAATTCCATGGCAATGGGGGGAGTAGAAAGGCTGAGTGCCTTAGGCTCAGCAAAGCTTTTCTTTCTTGATGATTGCTATCTTCTGCTAGAATATTAGAGGACTAAATGACTCCTCTAAGCAAGAAGAAATAAAAAAGCTTGTTAAGGGCCAGCGACTTGACCTAATGAGCATTATTGAAACCAAGGTAAGATTGGTGAACAAGAACATAATTATAGAGAATTTTTTCAAGAATTGGAATACTCTTGATAATTACTTGAGTCACCCCTATGGGAGAATTTGGATTGCCTGGAATCCTGAATCCCTTCTTGTTAGAAGGTTGTTCAAATCTGACCAAGCTGTTCATTGTCATGTTCAACAGCTGGGTAGTCAGCTCAACTTCTATTTATCTTTTGTGTATGCTCAGAATGAAGGGATTGAAAGAAGAAGGCTTCGGCATGATCTTACTATGCAGGCTAATCTTCATTTAAATGACCCCTGGATCATCATGGGTGACTTCAATGTCATTAGAAATCCTAAAAAATCGTGTGGATGCACTGGTCACTGGACACAAGATATGGTGGAGTTTGAGGATTGCATTCAGAGTTCTGAGCTTGATGACCTCAGGTTTTCTGGCATCTTTCATTCATGGAGCAATAATAGGCATGGCTCTGGTTGCATCTCAAGGAAACTTGATAGAGCTCTTGTCAATGAGAGATGGATTTCTTCTTTCCACCAATCTGAAGCTAAATTCTTGTCTTCAGGTATCTCTAATCACTCTCCTATTATTGTAAGATTTGGTGACTCTATGAGTGACAGGAATGCCCCTTTCAAATTTTTCAATCACCTGGCTGACAGAACTGATTTTTTAAACCTTGTGGCTGCTTCTTGGTGTGAACTTATCCAAGGCTCTCATCAGTTTAAAGTCTATAAGAAGCTTAAACTCCTCAAAAGTATCTTCAAATCTATTTGTAGAGAAAAAGGGTCAATCTCTGATTTGGTCGTTAAGACCAAGCTTGACCTTGATGACTGCCTGAGAAGCATTGATACCAACCTTAATGACCACTCTAAGTGGGAGGAGAGAAAGATTCTTTTAGCTGAATACTTGTTGCTTCTAAGGCTGAGGTATAAGCAAAAATCTAGGATTCTTTGGCTCAAAGAGGGTGACCAAAACACAAGATTCTTCTTTATATCCATGATCAATAGGAGAAATAGGAAGAAAATTATTTCTATTAGGAATGATAATGGGCTTATCGTTGAAGGGAACCAGGACGTTAAGAGAGTTGCCATTAATCATTTCAAGAACCTCTTTTCACACTCCTGCATTCTGGTATCCACTGTGGGTAGGAGATCTATGCTGGAGTCTATTGTCCACAACGAAGTGACTAAAGCACAGGCCTCTAGTATGTCTGTGATGTTTACTGATGAGGAAATCAAGTCAGTTTTTTTCTCTGTAAATAATTTTAAATCCCCTGGACCTGATGGGTATAATGCCTATTTTTTCAAGAAAGTTTGGCCTATTATAGGGAATGATGTCATCAAGGCTATTAAGGAATTCTTTGCAATTGGTAAACTTCTTAAGGAAATGAATGCAATCATCATTGCTTTAGCCCCCAAGTGCCCCAATCCTTCTTCTATGAATGAGTTTAGACCTATTGCCTGTTGCAATACTATTTATAAAGCTATCTCAAAACTGTTGGCTTCGAGAATTAAAAATGTCCTCCCTAACCTTATCAATCAGTCCCAATCTGCCTTCATCCCTTGTAGACGGATTGGTAATAACATCCTCCAGGCCCAAGAGCTTTTGAGGAATTACCACAGGGATCTCCTAGATGTGCTATTAAAGTTGGCTTAAAGAAGGCTTTTGATTTTGTCAATTGGAGTTTTTTGATGGATTCTTTAGAAGCTTTAAATTTCCCTCCTATTATGAGAACTTGGATATGGCAATGCATCTCTTCCCCTAGCTCTTCCATCAATATTAATGGTGATTTGGCAAGTTTTTTTCGCAGCGCTAAAGGTTTGAGACAGGGTGATGCTATCTCTCCTTATTTATTTGTGCTTGCAATGGAGATCCTGTCTCTTCTTATTCAATCTAAAATAAGAGATTTCAGGGTGTTCAAGTTTCACTGGAGGTGCAAGAAACTCCTGCTCTCGCAACTCTCCTTCGTTGATGACCTCTTGCTCTTCTGCTATGGTGACCTTAATTCTGTGAGCATTCTCAACTCAGCCCTTATTCAATTTCAGGATTTTTCTGGGCTACAAGCTAATCATTTCAAGAGCCATATTTACATGTGTGGCATTCAAGATGATGTTAAGGATCAAATTAAGAGTCTTCTTGGCTTTCCTGTGGGGCAATTACCAGTGACATACCTGGGTATCCCCCTTATCTCATCCAAATTAAGGAATTTCTACTGCAATGAATTACTTGTTAGAATTGAGAAAAGAGTGGGGTCTTGGATCAATAGAAATCTTTCTTATGCTAGTAGACTCCTCCTCATCCAATCTGTTATTAGTAGTATTCAAACCTACTGGACTTCCCACCTCTTTCTTCCTCAACAGATTATTGATAAGATTAAGCAAATGATGAGAAAATTCCTCTGGAATGGGATATAAAATATATAGTAACATGAAAAATAATTGTGCCCAATACAATTTTTTTGTAGACTTTTTCTTCTTTAAACAATAAACTATTTTTTAATCTAAAACACCGTTTTAATGTTTTATAAAAATTTCTTTTGAGTTATAACACTATTTATGGCAAGAAAATAGTTCCCACAAATTTATTAACAAAATATTGATACAAACACGTTTTTTGTGACAGCAAACACAGCCACTACAAAAAATTGTCTCAAACACGCCTTTTGTGACGGTGAATACAGCCGTCGTAAAAAATTTGTCACAAAAAACCCTTATTTTTGTAGTGACAAGTATAAATAATTGTCGCCAAAATGTTGTTTAATACTTTTTGGTGATGAAACTTAATATTTGTTGTAGAATATCTTTTTTTGGCGACAATTTTTCTTACACATCGCAAAAAATAGTTGCAGAAAAACGTTTTTCTTGTAATGATATTCTGTGACCAATTATCATTTGTCGCCAAACAAAATATTTTTATTTTTTTTTCCGCGACAAACATGTATTGTCGCTAAGTATTATTATTTTTGTTTTTTTATATTTTGGTATTTGACAAAAATTTTGCGACAAAAAAATTATTTTGGCGACAAATTTTTTTGTCGCTCATAATATTAGCATTTAGCGCCAACATTGGCGCCAAATTTTTTTTGGAGGGAAAGTTTTTGCGAATACTATTGGCGACATCTATAAAAAATGGTCGCCAAAAATATCATAAAAAAGTTTAACGCGAGAAACATTTGAAATTGTCGCCAAAAAACACTTTTTAACAACCAATTTTATTGATTGTCACCAAAATTCGCCGCTAGTGTGATAAGACAAGATGAAGAAAATGTGACACAAATATACTTACTAAATCGATTGCCACAATCTCATGTCAATAAGAAAACAATCTGCTAAGAGAAACAGAAAAAAAAAACTATCACACAAATGTGCTTACTGAATTGATTGTCACAATCTCATTTCTATAGGAAAACAATCTGCTAAGACAAGCAGAAGATAATGCGACACAAATGTACTAGCTGAACTGATTGTCACAATCTCAAGTCAATAAAAAAACAATCGGCTAATACTATCCAATGGATATGCATTATTATTGTAAGGAATTATGAATCAACAGTATAAAAATCAAATGCATAAAAAGGCCTGGTATGTTGCTTAATGGATGCTTTTAGAATAGGAAAGAACCATGTGGCCAAGGGTTTAGTAATTCCAATTAATTA